GGTGTAGCTTTGTGCTTAATTACAAACAAACAGTTAAGCACAAAGCTACACAATGGGCTATCTGTGCTCTGCCCACCACGGGTATTGAAACCCGGTTTCTAGTGTTGTAAGTCCGAAGACGTACCGCTGTGCCACTGGGGGGCTTGTGCTTAACTTCAAACAAATAAAGAAAAAAAAAGCTCCACCTAGAGCTGCTGAAATTCATAGCGCAAACTAAGTGATATATATATATATATATGTGCTATTGAAACAAATTATAATTTGTAATTTTAAATTGTCCCCCGGTACTTTAGCCAGAGGTGGACATAGCGCATATAGCCAATTGTGTAGCTTTGCGCTAAAAAACAAACAAACAAAAATACTTATAAATTATTTTATACCTCATCTATATGCTAACTTAACTTTCATCGGAAGTTATTGATAATGTTTGAATATATTAATTTTCATTGATCACAGTTAAACTGTTAGATAATCTCGTATTTTGTGCAGTTTTTCTGTATTCACATATAGACACGTACCTCTATGTATAATATATCTATCTAGACCTGTGATTTTCACCTTCATAGAATATAAATCGTACTTTATTCTATATTCAACAAAACCTTTCATTGGAAGTAACTCTTAGAATGTTTAGCATATCTGTTTTTATTATTTCAAATTTCTTATTATCATAGAGATTATTTAACACTGATAACTTAGTATATGGATTAAAAATTAACCCCAATCCCCTACAGAACCTCATGAGGTATTATTGGGATTACGGCCGAAAGTATCGTTAACAGCAAGGGTACCTAATTGATGAAACGATGTATTTTTATCTTTATGAAGTAAGAAACGTGTATTTAATTAGCTATACTCATTACCAGGTTGATTCCTAGTCTCACTCTTAGTAAGTAGCTAGCTCTCATACCACAAAATTAAACTTAACAATAAAATAAAACGTTGTACTGTATTTTGATTTTTTAATCTTTTCGTGACGTATCTAAAGCAGAGACTACGTTCGTTTACAACGAACTCATTTTAAACCTAAATTTTCCGTTTTGTTACATTTTATTTTTTTACATTTTTCATTCTGTGCAAAGTTAGAAGCTCAGAAGTTGTGTTAGAAGAGATAGTCTGTCTGTCTCTCTCTTTTTTCCGGAATAACATCGAGGAAGAAAGCGAAACGTTAAGTACATTTTTCTTCTCGAGTCTCATGGTAAGTTTTATAATGTTTAACTAAGTTAGTACTAAGTCAGTTACACACATCGTTGTCCTGTCAAAGTTAGCGACCTGCGGAAACCTAGCTTTGCACCAAAATCAAACATTACTACGTGCTTAACAACGAAAATCCTTTACATTTGAATGTTCGGGATTGTTTTATTTATCACACACACACACAAAATACGAGCTGTTTAGACAAGGGATTTAACTAATTCGTGTTATTTGAAATGGCGCAAACTCTTTGGCATTAATTAATTTATGAACTTTGGCCTAGAAATCATCTATTAAAACATTTTTGTTTTCTTGGTGGTGTAGCTCACAGTGTAAACAACGCCCTCTTTTCCTCCTTCTTGTAACATTATCAAAAACTGCTTCAAAGCTCCCCCTGGTGGCTTAGCGGTAAGTCTGGGGGTTTATTACGCTAAAAATCGGATTTCGATAATCGCGATGGACAGAGTACGGATAACCCATTGATAGCCAATTGTGTAGTTTTTGTTTAACAACAAATAGACAAAGATTTGAGGTTTTTTTTACATTCTTCCACTTTCCCTGTGCCTACGCACGTGACTCTATAGGAAGGACATTTCTAATAAACATCATTAATAATGGCTGGAGACGGCTTGAATAGGTAATGAAGAAAAACTTTAATATAAGTTTAACATAACAGCAAATGTACAACGTTTCGACAAGGTTTTGTCATCATCAGGTACCAAAACCTTGTCGAAACG